CCCTCTCTGGTTGAATACATAATAAATTTTGCTTTGATTTTTTATGACTAGGTACAATATTTTTTAATACAATGTTGTGCACCCTTTAACTCGTCTTCATGCTTTTCTCACTTGAAATGATGATTGTTTCAGGACTTGAATTTTGGGCTTCTGGCAACTTAGAAGATTTGGGAAGGCTTATTACAGCCTCTGGCCTAAGTTCTATTAAGAACTATGAGTGTGGTACATACATTCACACACACACACACACACGCACAGCTTTTTTCCATTTCATCATATCTGCTTTCTATTACCTCAAACCATTATCGTCCCATGTGTGGAATTTAAACTGCCTTCATTTGAATAAATTTGCAAATGAGTGCTTTTCTCGTTATTCATAGTATCTCTCTTCCATAGACCTCTTTTTGTGCAACTGAATTTGGTTTTGACAAAACAGGATAAACTAGAGATAGAACTGATTAAAAGTCTCCTCAAAACTCTGATAAACTTATTTCATTGTGTCTTCCTGTTCCATTATCATTGTGTATTCCATCAAATAATGGATCTTATTATGAATCAAGATTATGGTACTTGATTGACTATCCCTAATGGTGCAACTCTCTTTAGGTTCGGAGCCGCTAATTCAACTGTACGAAATTCTTTTAAGGGCTCCAGGAGTATTCGGAGCACGGTTCAGTGGTGCCGGCTTTAGAGGCTGCTGTCTTGCGCTCGTGGACTCTAATCATGCGGATGAGGCCGCATCGTTTGTCAGAAGAGAGTATCGAAAGCTTCAACCCGAGTTGGCAAGTCAGTTGAACCAAGACTCAGCAGTTTTGATATGTGAAGCTGGTGACTGTGCTCGTGTAATCTCATGATCTCAGCTGTCAATAAACAGCTTGTTAAATTTGGCTTTCTCAACCAATCACAATACCTTGTAATAATATTTTTTTGTACTCCATTCTTTTTTGTTGATTCGAAAAGTGTCAATCCAATGAAACTTTGTTTTGAAAGGGAAAGCGTGGATGTACAAATAATGAGTTTAATATGCCCCGTACAATAACATAAGAGAATATCAATCTTTACCTCCCCTTCGATTCACTATCAAAGGAAATGGAAGCCAAACTTAAATATCCTTAAAATTCACGTGTTATAGCTCCATGATTATTTAATAATGTAAAAAGTATATTTAGTAATTATATTGATCAGAACTTTAGTAAACACTAGAAGTTAATTGGATCGTCTCCTGTTATTCTTATTATTTTTCTTTCATTTTCAATCCCGTTGCCTTTTCCATCACATATCTTTATAGTTTGGTTAACGCGTAATATAATTTTACTATATAATTTCCATCTTACAAATAGCTTAAAAAGAATTCTTTTGTATTTTACTTAAATGCTAATTTTCACCCTATTTAAGAAAGTTGAATACATTTTTTTGTACATTGCAAGTCCTATTAAAGACCTTTTCTCTAAAATGTGAATTGGCTAGCACTTCCAATAATATGCAGTTCAAATTTTTTCTTAAATTATGATTTAGAATTATTCTCGATTTATGTGTGTTTTTTGTGTGAGAAAATACTGTAGCGAACCATGAACTATAATTCAAATCATGACACGAATATATTAATTAAACGCACGTGATTCCTACTGGGGGAGGTTCAAGACTTGCGCTATCTTCCAAGCCATCTTTGTCCTTGTAAGTCCACTCTTGCCTCCCAACCAACTAATCATCATGATACATCTTAATTATTTGTGTTAATAATATTGATTCTTGTACCACGATCCAGCATATCTCGTGCTAGATAACCCAAATTTGATCGAAAATTTGACGTTGTTAAGCATCAATTTTAATAAAACATGAGTTTTATCTATATACTGCTAAAAATAGTGTTTAGTATTATTTGTGTTATATATATATATATATAAAGAGTTTTAGGAGGATTTGGAAAAATTATGGCATAACCTTTTTCATTGATTTAACTGAATATATATAGAATTACAAGATATCCTATTTTAGGTAATTTACAATTCAAATAATTTCAAATATTGAAAAAGAGAAATCTGACTAAATGAGAAACTACCTAAATAATTACAATAAAATTCAAATCTAAACCAGAGATATTTACATATTTAAAACTTAAAACATAATAATTATCTATTTTTCTCCTATAATATCCATATGAATAACTACTAGATCAAACAATATAAAGGAGGGTAGAGTGAGACTTAAATTTAAGAAGGAATGATTATAATATATATTACACATAATAAGAGTCAATAATTTAATACTAATATTCAGTATCTACACTGGCATTTATTAGATGGAGAATGCTACATATGTAATCTCACTCCTGATCAAAATTTACACCTCTTAAATTGAATTTTTCTCTATGGACCCTTATTTTTCTTAAAAAAGAATTGAAAAAAGGCACTTTAGTCTATTGAAAATTGACACGTGTGCATAGAATAATTAAAACCCACAATGACAAATAGAACTTTTTTTTGAAGATACTCACGTATTAGAGTTTTTAATTTAAGTTAAAATGTAATTTTATGTGAGTTTTTTATTATAACAAAAAAAATTAAATGTGACTTTTTATAAAAATTTTTCACTGTAATAAAATTAAAATTAAAAACTCGAATTAATAAAATGATGATGCCTCAATATATTAGAGCTGTAGACACGTGTCCTATGTTGGGTTGTACAATTACCAATCATAGAAAATACTTATGAGGGATTTTTGTTTCAAAATGCAGGGTTTGGCATCATTATACATATTATTACTCAAGTCTAGAGGGTGATGAAGAATCTCCATGTGGTCATCATTCATCCTTTGCGAACGCATTGTTCTATATGTCTCCATATACGATGATTGCCCTAAGAAACGGAGGGTACCAGCCCAACATAGCCACATTCAAAAACTATAGTTTGAACAATGCAGAACCATTGAAATAAATAAAGCCTAAGTTATTGCATAAAAAAAATTTTATATTTATATCTCTCTCTTTCTTCTCCTCTTTTAGTATTAAAATTAGGATATACACAAACACCAGTAATGGTCTTCACTAATTAAGCTTTAATTATTCATTTTTTCTCAATAGATTTTTGGATAGGGCTGCAGTAATCACAGAAGAAGAGCTGAACCAAACGGGGAAGAATCCTTGGCGTCTATGCACAGTGACGCAAGTTGAAGAAGTGAAATGAATTAGTAAGAAACGACGTAATCCATTTGTCGAACCCAATTGAAACAATTAAAATATTTTCAAGACTTTTTGTAGCTTATGATTCCTTAGTTATTTGTGTTATTTGTAGCTATACTAAAAATTGGGAGGGTTTTACTGATCCTCGTAGTGGACATTTACAACTGGAAATGAAGTCAAAAGTGCCTATCCATCCAACGCACATGACAAATGTACTAAGATTTGACGTGCATTAAATGTATGCAGAGTAGGTGGTGAGGCCAGTGGAGAAAGCCAGGTAGACTAGTTGAAATCTCGGTGATCAGAGACTACTGTTCCAGAGTATGGTGGAGATATCACGGGATTTGATTAGATGATTGATAACTGGCAGAAACGACATGATGTATATAAGCAGGAAGAATGGGCTGGGGGTGGTTCTGTCTTGTGAACACCCATTTTCCCCAGAACTTGCGTTTTTTCTACCCAGAATAGTGAAAAACTCAATGGACGTAGCTCTATATTAGAGTGAACCACTATAAATCTTATGTGTCGATTTTGTTTCTTTTCTTCTTATTCGCGTTTAGAGTTCATTAATCCATGCACAAACCACAAAAACTTGTTATTAATCTGTTGACTAGTTTTTACTGTCAACAATTGGTGATTCCACTAGAGATCGAACCCAGAATCTTTGGTTTGTGTATGTGTTAAGAATCCAAGACTACTAAGAGATAACCAACGATCATGCCTCCGAGAAGAGCAAGGAGTGGCGCCGCGAATCAAGGCAGTCAAACGGAGGAGAACACCACGTATCCGGCCAATCCGGCCAACGGTGGGAGCAGAGGATATCAACCTAACCAGGGGAATCAACCCCCGGTGAGGAATGAAACTTCGACCCTGAGCATGCTGCAGCTTGACCCAATACAAATGCAGGCCCAGTTGAATGCTCTAATCGACTTAGTTCAAGGGTTGGTGACCACCATCGAGCGAATGGACGGGAGAAGCTCTATGCCTCCTCTGGAGGACGCCCTAAGACCACCAAGCGCTACCGTGGCCGGGAACCAGAATGCTGGTGACCAGCACAGTACTTCAGAAGGGATCGGAGAAAGTTAAAATTCTAAGGGAAATAACTTGAGGCTTTGACTGTCCAAGTCTCTCCGCAGCTGACAAAGGGCCGCCAGGTGACAAGCCCAAGAGAAAGGAGCAGCTAGGGACCTGGAGAAGTTCCCTAAGGTGCCACCTCGAAACCAGGGTAAAAATACCTGAGGGATTCGGAGTCGGTGGAAAAAAAACAAATAAAATAGATTGCGTAAAAAGACTTAACGGTCATTTGCATACAGCTGCCCTGCACGCAAATATATTCCAGCTAGTTTTCAGAAAAAAAAAAAAAATTCCAGCTAGCTACGTTTATTGTATTACTATTATTATTTTTAAACAACAGTACTATAGATTCTCAGGACCGTTTGATAAATATATTTAAATCCATAATATGATTTTGTTACATTATTTTTCTTTTATAAAGAATTTAAATTCAAAAGTTTTCCAATCAATAATTCTCTCACAGAGTTCTTAGAAATGAATTATAATCACTGATATGAATACATGAACTAAACATGCCCTCAAGTCACACACTAATAAAAGATGGATTCTAAAGCATGATTTAATTTTTAGAACCCGTTTATTTCACACATTTGAGCTCATGATTCTAATTCTGCTATAATATTTTTCTCTCATAAAAAATTTGAATAAAAAAAGATCCCGCCAATGAGTTATCTCACAAAACTTAAGTTTAGAATTAAAATCACCGACTCAAATGCGTGAATTAGATGGGCTGTTATTGATTGTGGTACATAGATAAAATTGTAAAAACTAACCCTTAAACACATCATTCTGGAGTTCTACCCTTTTGTTGTGATAAGCTACCCTTTTGATAATAATTTTTCAAATTATAGATAATAATTTGTCAAATTTTAGACAATAATCAGTTAAATTACGCCCGCTATCGGCGACTGAAAACTCACCGCCGGCGACATCTGTCAAGTTATCGATAATAATATGTCAAATTACTTACTCCGCAGATTAATAGGCTAATTCTCTCTCTCTCTCTCTATTTTTTTTAGTGTTTTATTTTATTGTTACTTTTATAAGTTGAACTTTAAATTCTCATATACGCACGGTAGGCTAAAATCAAAGGACATCACAAACAAAAGCTACAACAATAAAATCACATTTGGGAAGACCTAAAAATAAAAAACTCATTTAACAAAATTACCCTCACAGCACTCAATTTTTTCCAATATTCCGTTTGATCAAAATTAATACGCCACTATTCGTTTGAGCTACTAAAACTACTTAAAACGCCCCTAAATGGTTAAAAAAAAAATACTGACACTAAAATATAGATGAAAATGACAATTACCTTTGAAATACATTATATGACCAAAATACTCTTGGAAGTTAACTTTTTGAGATGTAAAATTTGCAGTATCTTTTTTTCCCCTTCTGGACTTCAAGTCTTCTCTTTGCTTTCATAGTCGGCAATTAAAATTATTTTTAGGGGTAACATTCAACTGCAAGCACTCATATACATCCACTAGAGTATAGGAAAAAGATAACAAAAATAAGAGGAAATTACAAGTTTTCATTCTCTTACAAATTTTTATAGACATATATATATATATATATCACATAAAACAAGTTTACAAATTTTCAATCCGACAACCAAATGTAATTAGAGAATTGAACATATCCAACATATTGATAGTAACAAATTCCAGAAATAATTTTGCAAGTACATAAGGTAAACATTTAATTTAGAGGATGAATTCAAACCCCTTGGTTTTGGTTCAAACAATGTTTTACCTCATAAAAATTTAAATTTAAAAAGTTTTATTACAATAT